ATTTAAAACGTACGAAAACTCATTACAAAGTGGTATCCTGGCACAGTTTATTGATTAAACAAATAACTACTTACTTCTTACAAGTTTAATTAGTCGCATTTTGTAATTTTTAACTTCCAAACCATCAAATTCAATTTTGTGATTTGCGTAAATGCCAACCAGCTGTTTTTGATCAGCTGTTTTCCTGTTGGCAAATTGCTGTTGGCAAAAATTTTTCCAGCAGAAACCAACAGCTTCCCCTCAAAATGAAATGTCAGTTTGCTCTCTCAATTTCCCCTACTTTGCAAGTTTTTTGCGTACGCGAACGCAAAAACTTGTAAGTTTTGGTTAAACATGAACAATTAACAGCTACGCGAACGAACCTATTGATATGTATGTACATATAGGTGGATTCGAGAATAAAAAAAACTGATACAAATATGAGATGTGCCATAACCTCAAGAGTTCGCCTTGCTGTTACACTCCGCTACCTAGCGACTGGGGACTCCTTTCGGTCTTTAGAGTTGCGTATGCTGTCCGTACATTTTTAATTTTCTTTTTAACTTCATCAATACTTCTCCCACATTCTTGTGAAATTTGTAGCCACGCATTTTGCTTTTGATCAACACGTTTATATGACGCACTTTGGAAATTCCAAAGGCATTCGTATTGCCTATATACATTTATTAATTTCAACACCTCAGCCATACGCCAATCCATTATAACGATATTCTACAATATGAAAATTAAAATTATTGCTGAATTGCATGAATTCTAAACTATAAATACTTACTTATTTATACAGCTCGTTCTTTTTGATGCTGTGATTTTGTTTAAGAAATCTGCGAAGAGCAAAAAAGGCGCCAACCAACTTTTTAGCTTCAGTGATGTTGCCACGAAGAGATTTTCGGCTATGCTGACTTTGGCATCAGACCACCTGCCCATAGTCATCTCGATCGATAAACCAACCGACTTTGCTTCCGCGGAGCACCGAACATATATCAACTTTTCAAAAACTGATTGGAAAGGCTTCGCGGAATTTACTGAAAACACCTTCGCTGCCCTTCCCACACCAACCGACGTCCACCTTGGTGAACGTAAGTTCCGCAGGGCTGTCACCGCTGGTGCAGCCCGCTTCGTACCGGCAGGATGCATCAGCGACCTACGCCCAAATTTCCCTGCTGAAGCGGCTGTTCTAGCCGATGAGCGTGATAGCCTTCGTTAGGCCGATCCCGGAGATCCCTGGGAGGGATCTCAACGCGGAGCTTCGGCAACTAGTAAACGTACATAAGCGGAAGAAGTGGGAAGAGCATCTGAAGACCTGCAACTTCACCTCTGGGGTGAGTAAGCTTTGGTCAATCGTGAGGTCATTGTCCAATCCGACGAAGCACGACGACAGAGTCGAAATTTCTTTCGACGACCATGCTTCGTCGGACTCGGAGCGATGCGCGAGCTATTTTAGCCGGCAGTTCATATTGCATCCTCCGGTGGACAAAGCCAAGCGTCGAGTGACCAGAAGGCTGCATAAACTGCCAACAACCTGTGCCCCCCTTGCTTTCACTTGCGGTGAAGTTCAGGTGGCCATCGGGAAGGTGAAAGCCTCCAAAGCCATGGGTCCCGACGGAGTGCATGCTGATGTTGAAAAATTTGGGTCCTGCGGAGGTAGCGTACCTAACGGAGGTCCTCAATCTGTTCATGGCCACTCTCATCCCAGACATCTGGAAGGTGGGGAGAGTGGTCCCACTGCTCAAACCGGGGAGACCCGCTAACATAGGAGATTCTTATCGTCGGATAACACTCCTTTCCCCGGTAGCGAAGACACTAGAGGCCTTGCATCTCCCGTATTTCACAAACCACCTGACCCCAGCGAAGCATCAGCATGGTTTCCGTAAAGTGCACAGTACAACAACAGCACTTAACGCCATAAACTCTCAGATAACTCGTGGCCTTAACCGTAAACGTCCCTGTGAGAGAACGATTCTAGTAGCGTTGGACCTGTCAAAGGCTTTTGACACTGTCAGCCATTCCACGCTACTAGAAGATATTGAGGCTTCCTCTCTCCCAGAGAGGCTCAAACGGTGGTCGGCAAATTATCTAAGTGGTCGACACTCGTCGGTAATGTTTAGAGACAAATCGAGCAAACTTAGGAAAAAAATGGGGGTTCCACAGGGTGGTGTCCTTTCCCCACTACTGTTTAACTTTTACATTTCAAAGCTCCCTCAACCACCAGAGGGAGCCTCGATTGTCTCTTACGCCGACGATTGCTCGATCATGGCGACTGGGAATGGAATTGATGACCTGTGTTCGAAAGTAAACGGATATCTCTCTGAACTTTCTCGCTTCTTCACTGCAAAGTGTCTAGCCCTCTCCCCTACGAAATCCTCTGCGACCCTTTTCACAACCTGGACGAAGGAGGTCAGGCTACCGCTACGAATTCACGTCGATGACATACCAATTCCGACGGTGAATAATCCTAAAATTCTCGGAGGAACATTCGACAGCCTGCTCTCCTTCTCTGCGCACGCAACCGCTATTGTCAATAAAGTACAGAGCCGCAACAAAGTCCTCAAGTCGCTAGCCGGCAGTACTTGGGGCAAAGACAAAGAAACGTTGCTGGCAACATACAAGGCAATAGGCCGGCCGGTTTTAAACTACGCAGCACCAGTGTGGTCGCCGGGGACTAGCAGGACGCAGTGGACGAAGCTACAGACGGTACAAAATACAGCACTTAGGACAGCGACTGGATGCCTCCTGATGTCACCAGAACACCACCTCCACGACGAGGCGAAAATGCTCCCAATTAGGGAGCACAACACGATGCTCTGCAAGCAGTTTCTTGCTGGGAGCCACAGATGTGACCACCCAAATAGACAGCTGATTGCAGAGGAGCCCTCGCCGAGGCCAGTCAGGAGGCATCTATATGAACTGACGGACGAAATCCAGAGGTTCATTAAGCAACATCTGGACCCGTCAGCTCACAGACAGGCCCTGAACGGCATTCACAGGGACGCAGTCTCGAGTTATGTAGACTCAAGACCAGTGAATGCCGTTCTAGGCACACAAGCACCGGACATTGACGCGACGGAGCTCCATCTGCCTCGGGAGACCAGGACAACAATAGCCCAACTTCGCTGTGGCTACTGCAGCAGGCTAAATTCCTACTTGAGTAGGTTAAATGCGGATGTGCCGAACGAATGTCCGGCAGGCGGAGAGACCCCTCATGCCTCGAAACATCTCTTTGCATGCCCGGAAAACCCCACAACCCTAACGGCGTCGTCCCTATGGACCGACCCCATAGAGGCTGCACGCTTCTTGGGGCTGCCGTTAGTGGAACCTGAAGACAACGACTGAGATATTAGCCTATCTGGGCGGGGTTGTTGTAGCCGCTACAACAACAACAACAACAAAGAAGATGAAGACGTTGCGCAAGCGGTCAGCTTGAAACAGCGGGGTACTGTTTTCAAAGACGAATCGCTTGCTGTGATGAGTTGTTTATTTAACTGTTTGCAATTGTGAAAAAACGTGTTTTTCAAGAAATTTGCTAAATTTTTGGCAAAATGTAATCAAACTTATTAATTGGCATTCTGGTATATTCGAAAAATGTCTGTCCGTCTTGCCGTAACACATAATACAAGTGGCGAAATTCTGCAAAAGTTGTCCTATACAAATTATTTCATGAATTGCTGTTTTTTCTTTATTTTCTTTTGATTTGATCTAAAAAAAAGGGTTTTATTTATAAACAAATCTTCATATCATTCATCTTCCACTATGTACACTCGCCAGCTTGCCCGCAACGCAGCAATTCGTCTTCGGCTTCGTCTTCATCTTCGTCTTCGGCTTCGCTTCCACTCTGTTTGCAACCTAAGTCGGGGGAAGACAGAAGATCACATGTACACAAATGTTTACATCAAGTTTTGCATATTGCTCTTAAACAGTTGATAGAAGTATGTTGAAGCTGCAACCTCATAGTTAACTTTATTTTCTGTTATTTCGTAATCGTCTGGCAATCCTGTTCACTCTCTCGTCATTCATATCTGTTTTGTGGTTACATTTGTTTGTTTCGTTGAAAAATCATTGTACGGTACTTTAAATTCCTTAAATTTACTATAAAAGGCGAGGAAGCTCTTTTTAACTTCTTCTTGTGCACAGATAAGCGGATGAATAATAAATTGTATTGGTAAATCGTGACTTTGCGTGATTAATTAGTAACAAAGTACTTGA